TTTCATCACATGTAGTCTTGGTTCCATCTTCACGATGAACAGGATGGTGAAGTTCCCCAAGAGGGCTATGGCGTACATGATGCAGAAGGGGCTAAAAGTGCAGGCTGAATTTTTCTAGTCTGGCACCAAGCCAGAGAATTTGCTGCACAAAAGGAGGTAAATATTGTATAGCAGCATCACCAACACCTCCATTCTTTACAAGGCTCTTAGAAGATATTGTGGGGTAAATTAGAGCTAAATAACAGCACAGAACACAGAGCCAGGACTGGTGGCTGTACACAAACTTTATGGGACCGCAGGAAACTTGGCCACACCCATGATAAGTGGACATCTAGCTAACTAAAATCATACTGGTTTATGGATGTTGCTGGACCTGAGAGTGCTTAACTAGAGATGTTCAACCTGTATTAATTTAAACAGTTTATGAAACAATGGCAGGATCTTTTCTTACCTCATCTCTAGTGAATAAACACCTGCTTTTGGTATGTAAAGGTGCTTGAAAATACCCCAGAAATGTAGAGAGCAAATTAAAACAAAGACCTGTCATGAGAGCTCACTCATGTGCAGGGGGTCAGATTCAATGTAGCAATGCTGATTTTTCACCAGCTGCAGTTCTGGCCTATGATTATATTCTGACAAGTTCAGGTTAATTTTAATATACAAAATAAATGTAACAAATAAGACAGTGATCTGAAGACAACTTGAATGTAGGAACAACAGCCCTTTCCCCAAAGAATCAATTACATTTAAACAAGGTAACAGAATAATTCAGAATTTATGTTCAAGACACTAATATATAGGAAAACATTTGTCTTGCGGGAGCTGAGTCTGCAATCCTTAAGATGGAAAATGTCCCGTTAGACCAAAGGTCCATCTAGCCCAGTATCCTGTCTGCGGACAGTGGCCAGTGCCAGATGCCCCAGAGAGAGTGAACAGAACAGGGAATCCCTCTCCTGTCACCTATTCCCAGCCTCTGACAGAGGCTAGAGGCACCATTCCTACCCATCCTTGCTAATAGCCATTGATGGACCTAACCTCCATGAATATATCTAGTTCTTTCTTGAACCCTGTTAAAGTCCTGGTCTTCACAACCTCCTCTGGCAAGGAGTTCCACAGGTTGACTGTGCGCCATGTAAATAAAAACTTCCTTTTGTTTGTTTTAAATCTGCCACCTATTGATTTTATTTCGTGACTCCTAGTTCTTATGTTATGCGAATTGAAGAGGGATTTTGAATTTGTTGGGACTGCTAATGCATTAGTCCTATTGGCCGAATCCTCCATGTCAACACTCAGTGAGCTTCAGGTCATATTTTTAGGGAGTCTGTTCTAAAATCTATTGTAACCAATGGAAAGACTCTCCTTGGTTTTAATGGACTTTGACTAGGTGTTTTGCCTCAGCTAAGTAAGGACATCAGGACTGACCCTATGTGCTTTTCAAAATGACAAATTTTACAGCGTGCTGAGGAAGTGCTCCAGGAATACACATACAAAATACATGGGGGTATTTTAAAGAGAGATTTCTTCTAAAGAAGCTACTTGCATTTTTCCAGAGCCTCAGTAAATACAAACAGTTAAAGATAGGTTGTGTTTTTAAGGCACTGCCCCAGTGATTCAGTGTAGACAAGAACATCAATGTAATAATGCTTAGTTGCAGTAGGAGAAGAGGCAATATAAGTTGGTTATAAACAGACTTTTTAAAGATGCTTGGAAAATAAAAAGTAGGAAATGCTATGAACTCTGAACCTCTCACGTTAGAATGTGCTGAATGGAGGCTAAACCACCTTTTTGCTAAGACCTTACATGTTGCAAGTGCAGAATGCCTTTCAATGGAGTAGAGAGATGAGACTCAGTTGTAAATGAATATAAAGGGAATTCTTTTTTGAGGTTATTGAGCACAGAAAAATCTTATGGTTCTCTGTCTTTCTAGTTCTCAGACTGACTAATCGCTCTCTTGTTTCCCACTTATGGTCTCTCTAAAGTTCTAGCATGTGCATTTAATATGTCATGTCAAATACAAGTTGACTCCAGTCTTCAGCCTATAAGGATTGTTTGGACTTTTGTAAATAATGGGTTTTATATTTCTCAGAATGGGTTGCCAGGCATTGGATGTTTGACACATGCCAGTGTTATCATGGGCTAGCATTTATCTTTTGTAATTGTTCTGCTCATGAGGAGAACACAAAAAAAAATCCCCTGATGTATCATTTGTTACTGGACCATTGCCGTGCTGATTTGTCAAAACTATCTATTTAAAACAATAGTCTTCAGGCAAATGCTTTGATTTGGAGGGAAAGAAGTGACATTAGATTTTAAAAAGACAGCTTTCTTATGAAAGACTGATTTCCATATTTCAACTCACTATTGTTCAAACAAATTGCAGCGATTCTGAGTACACTCTTTTAAAAATGTACCTTTGCAGGAAACTGCCATTTAATTTCTCTGTATTCAGCCTGCCAATCTCATGGTGTGCTGTATTTTATTAATATAACTGTATGCAATTTTGCACTCTGTGATACCTCATGAAACTCATATAGAAGTGATTCCATGGATGCATATGGCTTATTTGCCAGTGTTTTTAATTTACAGCTTTGTCACAAGCAACTTTATGGTCTACAGCAGGGCTTAAACTCTGGACCTTCTGTGTGTACAAAGAGTTGAAGGGATCTTTCTATTAACTGTAATAGGGCTTGTATGTCCTGTTAGCCAACCACCAGATATACAACTGACAGCAAATGAACAGGTCTAACGTTCCATTTAGTAGAGAGGGCAGTAGTGCATACAGACATATCAATCATTGCATTACATTGATCCAAGGGACACAGTACTCATACAAAACTATTGTAATTCACTGCATCTGAGGTTATGAAGGAAAGCAACAAGGAAACATAGCTTGTACAGAACACAGTGGCTCATGTCTCCAGCAAAAAAAGACTGCTGAGAACTCATCACTTTGGTGCTCTGTGCCCTCAGCTGGCTCTAGTTCACAGCCATTGCCAGTTAAAAACTTTATCTTGCCTACTGAGACTCTCAGTGACTTACAGCCCATCCACATTATGCTCCATTCACAGTCTTCCAAGTAATCTGCCTTCCTTGGAACAATGCAGGTAACAGTGCCCAGGGTGAAGTCCTCTAGAGCAGGAGATCAGTCATCTTTGGTGCTGCATTCTCAGCTATGCAAAGACTATTGAAGAAGGCGAGGCTAAACTTGAGCCTTTCCATATTCAGAGCCTGGTACAAGATGTGTGTCTTCATGCACCAGCCTTCCAGAAATATCAGACAAGAAATTCACATGCACATATCACTTAAAAAACAAAAGCTGCTGAAC